TGTTCCTTGCTGCTTTACTGTACAGTAGTCTATATGAATTTATATATAGTATGTATAAACAGAACTGAGCAAGAAACTTCAACTCTATCCTCAACCGATAAGCCTGAAAGAAGGGAATGTCGAGTGTTGCATAATGGCACAATCTACGATATGTACAAAATGAAACAAAACACGCACAATAATACAACATTTGAGAAATTCCGTGAGTTGGCAGACGATCAAAAAAGACACGTTAGAATCAGTACTCACTACAAGCAGCCAATTTTCTTGCACAATCGATTATATGCTCATGAAACTTTGTCACCGATGCAAATCGATCATCGTGACACAAAGAACAAATCATTACCCGTGATTTTGCAGCCGTTTCACACTTAGGTATAGGCGAGAGATCGTAGTTTAGTGGAATGTTACCCGAGTCGGACATCTGTGAAAAAGAAATATTAGAAGCGTTCCGGCATTCCACACGGTAACAGCTCGCTCATACTTCGCGATCGCGCGATCTAATTGTTCGATAGCGAAGTATGAGCGAGCCCCAACTCTGCTCTAGGGTGTCTCAGGAATATCTATCAACTGCGGTGCTTTCCTTCCCTATCCTCTTTTCTTACTTCCTTTCCCTCCCTTATCCCGTCCTCTTACTTGTTTCCCTCCCTTCAAATGCTCGGCCACGAGATCCGGTGAACAAGTACCTCAGGACCCTCGCAGCGAGGGAACATCCGGTTGACAGAAACCCTGTAATCGCTCTAGAGCATTACACTGTTGGAGGTGTGAGCCGCGTCGCTCAATCAAGCATTTCTAGCTAGTTGACTCAGCATAGAACTTTGATCAGTTGCCTCGGCTTGCCACGTCTGTACCGTTTAATTAACGGCCTTATTTCGAGAAATTCGTCAGTGAATTACTTTCTTCCACAGTAAGATTCGATAATTAGTGACAAATGATATCCACTTTTCCGCGCTGACGTCTAAAAAACAAGGGAGGGGGCTCCACAACACCTCTAAAAGCGCCTTCTCCCAACCATGCTATACGTTTAAAGCGCAGACGGCGAAGGGCTACTTCTTCGAAAGGGTACACTTTCTACAAGACTCTGGCCTCGTTTGCGCTCTGAGCCTGAGCCTTAGCTAGGGAAAAAGATATAGAGGCGCTGTGGTCACCACGAGTCTAAATAGAATTAGAAACCTGCCGCATCCCTCAGAGGGACAGATCAACAGCGAACTGATCCTTCTTTTCGGGACAGGGCCGCGAAAAGAATGGATTGGGACGCGGCCTGCCATCTTCCTAACTGATTTCACGCTAAATGTTGTTTATAGTCGTAACGAGCTAATAGAATATCTAACAGTGAACCAGTCCGCGCAATAGAATCCCTTGACCAATCATGGCGTTGTATTTTTGTGGTGATGTTTCGACAAACATAAAAATAACGCAAAAATAGTTATCTCATATCAGTTTCTCAAATAAAGGCTTACTTCAACATGGATAGGGCAGACTAGGATGGGAGGTGTATTTAAGCAGCAACCGTCTTCAATGTGAGCTTCATAATCAGTGAATACAGGGAAAAGTTGGCGGCAAATGCTGCACCTGCCCAGTCCGCTTGGGGTGCCGATATCGATAGGAACCTCTCTGCGAAACAAAAAATAGTTAGGAAATGTTTCAGAAGTACAGCTGTGTCAAAATCGTCTCACCTTGATGAGGAATGGATAATTTTGGCGCTCCGCATTGGGAAGGGTACTCCCCGATCCTCGAGGGCTCGAAACTACCAGACTAAACTTTCAAACACATTTAAAAGCCGGAATTGGATAACGAGAAAAAGTCAAGTTTGTGACTTGGACGTATGCAGCTCAAGAGAGTTTGGCGAATTGTTATAATCGCAAAAGGATTTATACGTTATGTGATGAGTAGGAATAGCAAACAGGAGAGGGTTGACCTCCACTCGCCAGTTGCGGAGTCTCCCTCAGCAAAGGATGATGATAGCCTGAGGCTGCGTTCACAGTTTGCGTCAGCGTCAATCAGCGTCTCGATTCACGATGTAAGGTAAACGGCAAAATCGCACTTGAGCATCCGGCGCGCGGTCCCGGCACGACTACCCTGAAGAGGAAGCGCGCGCTCATACGATCGCACAACCGCGAAGTATGAAAGTGCTCGTATTTTGCACAATCGGATGAAAGCGCTCACATTTTGCATAATCGAAAATCAGCGCGCACCTGACGAATTCAAGGGGAAGCAATTAGATGTTTCAATTCGGAATGCTTTGAATGTGACTTGCTACATATTTTTGGTGTATATAAAGGTAGCACTTAATTGAGCAAGTATCCGTATGACGATGAGCGAAGTGAACCTTGATATCCAGTGTGTAATCACTTTTCAGATGTCAATCACTGTAAGGAATGTAGAAAGTCTCGCCATTTCAACCAACTTGATGTGGTCAAATCCCAAAGCTGACCAAAATGCTTCACCAGAACGGTTCCACTGAGTCAACCGGGAATTATCTGAACCATCCCGTTGAAAGTTAAAGACATAAATCAAAGAGTACACCTCCTATCAACATTTCCCCAGATAGAGTACTATATTTCGCCAAGTATGTCTGTGTGTGTGCGTCCGTCTGTTTGTCACGAAATTCATAGCGCCGGTCCCAGTAGCAGTGAGACATTGGTTCCAAGAAGTGATGTAGGGGGTGTGACGGGAACACTATTGGTGGGTGACAGGAAGTGATATCAGTTGATAAGATCCGATAAGAGGCGTTAGAAGGGGGCGCCACATTCATAACGCGAGCGACAGCATCAGCTAGCTCTTTCTTCTAACCATAAGATATGATATGGGGTATGGGCCAAGAACATTATTGGTGGGTGACAAGAACTGTAAGCTGCTGATAAGATTCGATAAGGGGCGTTAGAAAGGTGAGGTCATCGTATTCACAGCGCAGGTCACAGCATCAGCGAGGCGTACGTTTCAGCAAGTGATATAGAGGGTGAGATGGGGACATCAACCGTGGGTGACTGGAAGCGATAACTACTGATAGGGGCTGATAAGGGAAGTTGCAGTCGTCGTCGCTGTTCAAGGTGGTTCACCAAATCATAGAGATTTAGTGATGAGGACATTGATGACGGGTGACAGGTAATCTTATCAATCGATAAAAACAGATAAGATACCATCTGCGCTACATTTTTATCACTTCTTACCGCTATAATGCCGAGTATTAGAGGCTCAGTGTGTGAACTCTTTCTTTTAATGGCAATAAAATCAAGGTCGTTCCTTGAAGTATTCGCTTTAAGATGCATACAGTGCAGGGCACATCATTGGTTGGGGATCATAGTCAAGTCTGTGCGACCCCCTTTTTCTTGGGGGGTTGGTACGACTCCTCCCCCTCCCTCCGGCCTCCCGTTTCTCCTCATCGAATCGAGCTGTCGACCGGGGGGTGGGTGGGATAGCACATTTGAAACAGGAAAATCACGAAAAGTCAACCACCACCCCAGAAGGCCAGAAAGTAAATACGACCCCCTTCTCAACAATGACCAAGTACGACCCCCCTCTTTACAACGTCCGTGAAGCGAGAAAAATCAACTATCAAAATAAATTTTTCCCAGCCCAAATACGACCCCCCCCCTCTCCTGGCGGCCAAATACGACCCCTGTATTGGGGTTTTCCCCAACAACCTCCGCCGAACAGTGGTGCCGAGCAGAGGGGGGGAGGGGGAGTGTGGAGGTATGTATCTTGTTCGCTTGAAACGGGAAAATCGAGAAATACATCAATCAAAAGTTTTTCGGAAATTGCTGATTATGATGAGCAATGATGTGTTAGGTGGAGGGGGTCGCATTAGAAGCAAAAAAGGAGGGGAACCAACATTTTGGCGCGGGGATGTCCTGTCGCTAGTTACATTCGAGCTCCCGATGCGACGCACACTATGACATGTACAAGGCAATATGAAATTCTCCTTTTCACTGCAGCCAGTCGCTCTGTAGTTATGTCTTTTCCGGGTAAAAGTCGTGTATGTCACCTTGCCTACCCGGACTAACTCAACTTTAAATAGTTGTCACCATATGGCACATTTTGCGTATTCTACCTCGCCCAAAGGAAGAGTGCCTAGCGGAGCTAGGTGGCCCGGCGAAGCCTGGGCAATCCCACTGATAACCATTTATTTGAACCGAGCACAAGACCACGATATGTGTTATCGTGGCGGAGAAGGGAGGGGCATCAATCAGAAAGGTATTTTGATAAAGTAGAATGCAAAGTATGCATTTTCCCCACAGCGGAAGGTTCATTCCGTACAGTTAAGCCTTGAAGCCGATTACCTTTTGGCTTTGAACCATAGAAAGACTACACCATGAGAAGATAAAACAGAACAACACAAATGATTGAAGCCGAATACTATTAAGATTTGAACCACAGACACAACATGGACATAC